ACACATGTATGTATTTTCTGCTGTGAATATCTATCTATATCTATATCTATATCTATACATACATACCTACCAACCTACCGACCGACCGACCGACCTACCTACCTACCTCTCTCTATCTATCTATCTATCTATCTATCTATCTATCTATCTATCTTTCTTTCTGCACAGAGAAGCTCCAACAACCAAGTAAAACTGCAGTGGTAAAGCACATTTTAGAGAGGAGGGGGAGTTTAAGTAATTGAATCCCTTAGCAGTTGTAATTAGTTTGCCTCATACAGAGATCACACTGTGTCTGTTTCTTAATTAGTTCCACTAATCAGTGTTGAGCTCACTGCATTCAAATATATTTTTGCTTAATAATGTTGTCAGAAATGTGTGGGCTCATCCAAAAAAAAACATTACTAGGAGGGCATTTGGAAAGCTCATATCTCCGCCCCTCAACAGAAGTGAGAAATAATTAGGGCATCTGCAAGAGGTCGTTAGAAAATTGGTGCACCCTTTGACCAAGTTTCATGAATATCAGCTCATAGCAAAGTTCATAGAGTGCATGAAACTATCTGCAGCGTGGAATAGTCATTAATAATCTTTAAATGTATGTAAGTAGGTTTCTGCAGACTCAACGTTTTAACGAGCTTCTGAAATGTTAATCTGGAGTCTAACATAAAGTTGAGAAAAGTTACCATGAAGAACTTTAAAGAGGCCCTTAGATAAGCTTTTTGGCAGTTTCCCCCTGTATATGATTTAGTGCATGTAAATGGTCTGCAAAGGCTAAAATCATGCCCCACCCCGGAACCTGCTTACCACCCCCGCACCAACCTGTGAACCTTCGGGGGCAGAGCCTTCAGTGTGGCAGCCCCCACCCTCTGGAACCCTGTGGAGATCTGCAACATCCCCACGCTTGACGCCTTCAAAAGGGCCCTCAAGACCCATCTGTTTGCTGAGGTCTTTGGCCTCTAATGTCCGTCTGACTGTTTGTCTGACTGCCTTTTGTTTTTGTTACGTTTGTTTCTACTCCTGTTCTTCTTTTGTAAAGAGGCGTGTGGCGCAGTGGATTAGTGCGTTTGTGTTGGGATCAGGGGGTCTCAGGTTCAAACCCCACTGCAGTCAGCATGTCGTTGTGTCCCTGAGACACTTCACCCCAAATTGCTCCTGTGGGGATTCTCCACAGTATTGACAGTATGACCTCTTCAAAGAGCAGAAAGAGAGGAGCCATGATGGAAATATCGGTACCACTTTACAATAAGACTACGCTTATAAAGGATTCATAAAGGGTTTATAATTAGGTTATGAATTAGGTTGTAAACACTTTATAAATCATTAAGAACCATTTATAAACCAGTTCTAAAATACATCAACACAGGCTCACTATTTGGCAAGATGACTAAGCCTTATATTGGCTACCTAGCTTACTTTGTGTTCTTCATCAGCCAGCATCCTTAGCCGCGTTCACACCGGAGTACTTTTCCCACTTTAGTTCCGATATAGTTCAGAAATGTCGCGTTCACAACAAAAAGAGCCGGAACTAAAATTAGTTCATGAGAACCTTTTTACCCCCACACACACACACACACACACACACACACACACACACACACACACACACACACACACACACACACACACACACACACACACACACACACACACACGACACACACACACGACACACACACACACACACACACACACACACACACACACACACACACACACACACACACACACACACACACACACACACACACACACACACACACTCACACAGCCTTATCTTTTCTCAGCCGACCACACACAGCCACACACAGCCACACACAGCCAGCCTGCGCACTCAGCCTGTGTGTGCTCAGGCTGAGTTCCGTGATGTCTCACTGTCTCGCAGACCCCACGCAGCAACCAGGAAACAACCCCAGTAATCCAGCTCACACTGTCCGCTCGCAGCGAGCCCCGCAACGTCCCGCCAACACGGCACCCAGACGCAGCATTCTCATCTGTTTTTCATTACTGGTGTCCTTTTCTGGTCGCTAACAAACACCATTGTAACACTTAAAAACACATCAGAGCACAGTGGGCTCATAGGGAGGGGGAGGGGGAGGGCAGGAGCTCCAACAAGCCGTGCAGGACAGAGAGTGAATACACATGCTATACAGAGATGCTGTTTGAGAAACCAATGTGAGTTTGGAACAATGTAAATCTATTCTAGTAGACCTCAACAATGGAATTATGATCAGTAGAAGTGGCCGTGACATGGGACCTTTTAATACAAGAAAAAAGGGTCTTATGTTATACACAAGTATAATACAAATACATGATTAAGAAATGAGGCTTTGTTATGGTTACCCCTCTCTTTCCTATGCAGCACATCCTAAAAAAAAACATGATGCATGATTTGCCGCCTCCCTCTCTTCCCCTAGTTTCCATCCCCATCACATTGAAACTGATAATGTCAGTCCCTCCTCACAAAGACATCATTATTTAGTTCCCACCGATCCTCTCTAATGTTGTTTTTCTCCTCTCATCCTCCACAGGCAGAATATTGTGTACGTTGCCAGCAACCACTTTGTGTGGCGCCTGGTGCCGGTGTCCATTGCCATTCAGATCCGGCAGCTTCTTCAGGACAAGCAGTTCGAGTTGGCTCTACAGCTGGCGGTGAGAACACCTTCCCTGAGAAACGTATTTATTCCTGCAGATTAAAGAGGTGCTTTAGCTCAAGGGGGTGTGGCACTGAAATCACTTAGCTTCACCAGGAGCACGACGATGAAACTCTAAAACGCTCACGGCACAATCTAGCTATTTGGCTTTCCAGGGGTTATTTTATAAGGATTAAGAACACCATTAATGTTGTTTGTTCATTATTAGAAAGCATGCCGTTTCTTTTCACTGTTTTTTTGTGAAGCTTAGTTTTCTAAAGATATCAAAACCCCTTATTGTTGTGCTTCTTTTACATGCAAACCAACATAATGTCAAAAGACCTAATAAGAACACTCTTTAAAATAAATAAATACAAATATTTAAACCGCTTCCACTATTAAATCCAGCTATCCACCTATTATTTCTTCGTAATTTGTCAAAGTATTTTATTTTTTTCGTGTATTTATATTTGTTGAAATCGTTTTTATTATAATTATATATTATATAATAAATATTTATTTTATTTTTGTCTTAGTCTGTTTATGTTTGCACCAAAGCAAATTCATTGTATGGGCTAAGCTACTTGGCAATAATATGATCAAAATAATTAAATTAAAAAATAAGGATTAAAGTTATACTTATAAACTAAATAAAAAAACATAATGACGAGAACCAAAATACCAGAAATACCGTGACTTGTATGATCTTTACAAAATGTTCTTGAGTAAATATTTTTAAAAATAATAATATTCAATCTCAAAAAAACTAAAGATCAGACCGCTAGAATCCTAATAATTAATTTTGCTGTTTTGTGATGAATTGTTTGGCTTTTCTTCATGTATATTCTCTTTCTGAAGATGAAGGATGATTCTGACGGGGATAAGAAGCAGCAGATCCATCACATCCAGAATCTCTACGCCTTCAACCTGTTCTGCCAGAAGAGGTTCGACGACTCCATGCAGGTGTTCGCCAAACTGGGGACAGGTGAGAACTCTAAGCTTTTCTTCCTCCAAGTCTGTTCAGGCCAAATAAAAAATAAATACGTGGATCTTATTCTGCCTAGAGCTGCACAACTTAAAGGGGACCTATCATGCAAAATGCACTTTTTGATGTCTGTTATACATAAATATGTGTCCCCGGTGCGTCGGGGAACTCACGCAGCGTCAGAAAATAAAACCCTTTCTCTTTTCCTCCGTACCCAAATCTTTTAAAAACGGGGCTACAACGAACAGATACAGATTTGCTGCCGATATGACGTCAAATCGGCGGGGGACCCACAGAGAGTTGCTATCAGAAACAATGCCTGACGTGTTTTGGACGTAATCTCGTCTTTGTTTACATTAGCAAGCCTCGCTAGCACTCAGAGCTAACCTTTACTGTAAAGCGTGTGGTTTAAAAAGCCAGAAATTAAAAAGGAACTCACCTTGTGATAAAGCCTGCAGAGAAAAAGCATTTGAGCCTCCAACGTAATGCGTTTTATCACAGCAGAATTTAACTTTATTCTCGGTGATAGAATGTCTGATCAGGCATTAGCTCCACCTCTTCTTTTTTTTGTTTTTCAAGCCTAAGGACCCAAAATCCGTGTTTCTCTGCAGTGGCCGTAGAACGGTTTAAGCGTGCCGTGGCCAAAACCCGGCCCGTTTTTGTTGCGTTTCCACTTCGGCTAGTTCGGCTGCAGGGGCTACCTTTTCACAGTTTTTTCTGGCCCTCCAGAATCGTGCGTTCTTCTAGTTTTTTTGTCGAGTTCTGAACAGAATATGAGGAGCTGCCTGAGCACTGAGTGCTAACAGCTAACGGCTGATGCTTTGGTTTTGTGCAGCCGCCATATAGAGAGAGGTACCCTTATCTATATGGCGCTGGTTTTGGGTTCGCATTGAAGGATGACGTCACGCTCCGCCTACACTGCCGTTACTAATAGTTACTGCCCCAGCTTACTAAACTGTAATGGAACGCGAGCATAAAGTGGAGCCTGGCCCTACCAAGGCCTAACTCTATACATACTAGCCCTGCCAGTGGAAATGAGCCATAACAGGGCTGCAAAAGAGGGGGTATGAGCCAGGTATGAGGCCCATGGCTACAATGGGTGATCTGTTTGGTATTTTTAGCCAAAAAAACTTCACAGACATGTTTTGTATAGGTATGCCCTACAATATATGTTCCTAATATAGCATAATAGGTCCATTTAAGTAGCTTATTTTAGTAATGTTAATTGACACTATTGAAAGATGCAGAGTTATAGCAGGATACTTCGTCCAACAGGGTATTTTTCATAGAAGCAAAACAAGAAATGCCCTAATAGGGTTCTATACCCTTAAGACTACTTTGGTTGAAGCAAGCAGCCTACTTTTTAAGGAATAGTTTTTCTGGGAAAC